TTGCTGCCACGCCCTGGTCGACACTGTTACAGATACAACAGGGAGTATGGACATCCGTCAGACACATGTAGCAAGCTGTCTCCGATCGCGCAGTCTCCGGCGCGAAGGTCGCCCCAAGGTTACTGCTTTTACGAGCAGTACCAGCTTGCGGGGCATGTCGATGAGTTCCCTAATCACTATTTGCCTCAGTTTAAGTGAGTCTATACTTATCAATTATAGTCAATATATGGCATCGCTTCTTATTCATGTATGTGCTTCGCCACTCAGAAATCGCTCAAAGAAAAAGCACCGATCGGTCACTCGAAGCAAAAAGGTTCTGTCGTGCACATCACGTGCGGCGCTGAGGTTCATCCTAACGCTGCGTCGAATCGCGTTCGTTTTCCAGGTCGGAGCAGGAGCGCCCCCTGGCGTCGTCGACGCCGATCCGCAGCACGATCACGACAAAGGCGACCGTCGAATCGCAGCCGAAAAAACCGCCGCGACTGAAGGCGGCGCCACGGGCGAAAACGTCGGTGGCGCCCCCTGTCCCCGCCACGCGCCCGCCGCCGCCCGCAGAAACCGCCAAGGTGACCTTTAGGACAAACTCGAGCGAGAGTCTGAGCGACGCCGCGAACGACACGTCCGGCGACCCGCTGATCACGCGGCGCGCCGACGGCAGCGTCTGCATCCGCATCGAGGATGGGTTGCCCGCGGCAACGGCACCCGCGGCGTCGTCGCCGCGGCAGCAGCAGCAGACGCCGGACCTCTCGCTGCAGCTGCGCTGTCGCTCGGAGGACGTACTCACGGGCGGCGGCGGTGGCGGCGGCGACGCGAAGTACTACTCGCCGACCTACCCGACGTACAGCAACCAGACGGAGTACGGCGAGCATAACTATCACTATCACCGCGGCCACGGCTACCACCACGGCCACTCGCCGTACGCGTCGCCGCTCGACCACTCCGAGTCCGACACCTTCCTCTCCAAGCTGACGGCGGCCAGAGGCGGTGGCGCCACCTGCATGCAGCGCAGTCGCGAGGCGGAGACGATAACGGAGCTCGGCGATGACGCGTCGCCGTACGACAGTGGGGGCGCCACCGTGTCCGAGGACGGTTCGTCGACGCTGCTGACGGCGGAGACAAACGGGGACACGCAGCGCGATGTCGCGACGTCCTAGCCGGGATGGAGGGGGCGGGGACACGAGAGCGCACGCGGATGCTGTGGCTGGGAGGGTATGTGTATATTTATTTATATGTATACATATATATATGCGTGCCTGTGCATGTGTATATATATATATATATATATTTATGTATATTTATATATATATATATATATTTATTTATTTATATATGTATATATATGTATATATACATGCATAGAGGCCATATTTATTCAGTAACTTGCTGATATGATTCTCGAATGTATATCGAGTGTGTTTGAAGGAACACAAGCATCAACATATCTCTCAATGTAACCACTAAGCTGAAGAGAATATGAAGCATAGTTGAACGATTGATTATCTAGGATTTACTATTATTATCTTAGTGCTCTGGCGCGTTTGGAGTTACTGAGTCGAACTTCTTAATTTGATTCGATTGATTCAAGCCACTTACACTAAACCGAATGCTTGAAAGGTCTATTATTGCGTTTGTGCATCAACGCGACTTTTTTAGATGAAAACAAGATGCGTTAAATCGTCTGGTTTGCGAGATTTCCCTCTATAGCATGCCATGTCAAAATATAGGGGCAAACGTACAATGTTCGTACTCGTGATTCCAACAAACGAGTTTCCAATTACTATTTTAACTAATTGCGGAATGATGTAACGTTGCCAGATAATTTTATATGGTTTTATTGGTGGTCATGACTGCCACGGGGTCATGCTGGCTGTCCGTGCACATACAGCTGGAGGCAGTATAATCATGTTTTTTATGCAGTTTAACATTTTTCGCACAAGAACTTTTGCCTTAACGTCGCTAAAGCATGAACGATTACATTTCTCGTATTTGTTTCTCCTCTTCGTCGTGGATTTTTAGGTATATCACGAATCGTAAACAATATAAAAACCGGCTTCTTTTCCACTATCCCCCCACCCCACCCATCCTATTGTTTCCATGGAGACGCGTATCCTCGTAATTTCTGTTCTCGCATGAATTCGAACGCCATTAACACACCATCATCCAGTTGTCCATTTGCAGCATTACTTATGCTATATATAGCAAGTTTATAAGTATGGGAAAGAAGACTATTCCGTTTGTAATTTTTAATGAATTATTGGAAATTCATTTTGCTTTGTAAAGCCTGGTATATGAGACGTGAAAACGTTTCTGATTGCACTTTTATTATTATTTTTTATTGATTTCTATTAACTTCAGTCTATCCACCATAGCTATATATGGGTTGGCCAAACGACGACTGAATTGAAACTAGGCATAACAAAGTGCGAGCCAGAATTATATATGAGGTATTAGTGTTTGACTCATGCACGAAAGAACATTCGTGTCTTTGCCAATATGCTTATATGATGTCTCGGGAATAGAGCGGCTTCGATGGTATGCCCCTAGGATCGATATTGATAATCCAAAATATTCCGCTACGTCGCAAGATCTAACCGTGTCATTTTTCATTAATTTACTTAATTGTTTTATGCTGATAAATATATTGTAACATTTGGATTTCGAGGAGGAATCCAGACGGTCGCGTTTCCCATAGATATTCATTCTATAATTTAGTATAGGTTCTGCATTATCAATAGTGTAACCAACCCTGAAATGAAACCTGGTAGTGGTTCAAACAGTTTTATAGGTGTTTCCTTTTCGCAGAATTTTTGTTTTAAGATATATCGCTCAGAAAAAGGGGCATCTTTGAGGTATGAGCTTGAAATAATTTATGCAAGTTTAAGTAAGACCGTTTCTTTTTAGTTTTCGTAACGATGCATAAAGAGTGTAAAGAGTGTAAAGATGCATATATTTTGCTGTAAAAGGAATCCAATGTAAGCGCGTAAATTAATTTACTAGCTGAAGTTCATCATTTTATCAGGAAGGGCTTTAGGTAGAGTGTTGTGTGTGTGAACACGCTATGTGTCGCATATGCTAGCTTTCGGCTTCGTGACATTGTTTCGGGTTTGACTGCCACGTGAACGTGCGAATCATGAACGTTCTGTCATCCCTACTGGTATGATCCGGTGGCATAACAATGACCAACCCTCATGGCTTCACATCAGTAGCACCAATGGCTTCCATTTCATAAAACCTTCCCTAATCTTCAAGCCAAGATGGTGGCTTCATTATGAATACCCGCATCGTTCCTACTCCCAATGCCTTCGTGTATTGTCACGTGACACTCCGAAACCACTCGTGGATTGCAAACATTTGTTTCGGCGATTTTTTAAATATGCAGTTCTTTAAACCAATTATACTCATATTAGCATGAAGTATGTCTCGTCATATATATTTAGTATATAATACATATGTAGTCGTTATATATTATAAAAGCTTCCACGATAGTTTCTCTGTCACACATAGGTATAACTATAGTAGGTTAGGGCATCTAACTACAATGACGTCATCGTCTCGGCTCAAAGGTTACAGTAAGATTATTAGTTCTGGTATAATCCATGAGTGCATGCATTAATGTACGTCTCTTTATGTGTTCTTCCATTCTTCGATTTGCACACACGTACACCTGCATCTCAACTGCTGGCGAGGGTTCGTGACTAGTTCCTCCATTTTGCCTTCAGGTCGTTGGTCAGTGCGCATATACCTACTTCCGATTGAACGAGTAATGTAAGTCATAGACGGGGAATTAGATGTCGTATACGAAATACATACTATAGGCTTTTTACATACCATGCCTTCGCTAAAACCGAGTACGTGTAAATTATTTGTAAATAGATGGATTCGCTTCGAGGCAATGCAATGCTTGTGCTGCCAGGGTCTATGTCTCCCTGGGTACTGCCGGAACGTACCCTAGCTGGTACTATATAATATGCCGGACCGTACCTCGCCTACTCCACTAACGAGTCTAGGGAGTCGCCTACGCCTACGCCTATACTCCCTAACCCTAACCCGAACCCTAACCATATCAGATAGTTACCAGGGTACGTTCCGGTATACCGGACCGTACCCAAGGTACGTTCCGGCAGTACCCAGGGAGACATAGACCCTATCAGCAATGCTTGTAGGATTTTGCCCAACCCGTAAATCTTCTAGTCAAGGTGTAGCTTTATGTATTTGCCGCTAGATGGAGTCACATGACGTAATTACGTGTCACTGATCCCAGGCTGGTCGGCGTTTCTTATACCCCCAAATATCGACAACCTGGTATGAGTGTGAAAACCTGTTATCGTGTTTACATGTCCACAACATGTATACAATGTTAACGAATAGTTTAGTCACGATTTTTCTTTCGCGTTGAAGTTCTAAATTACTAAAATTATACTGAATTAGTATAGGGGAAACCTGTATAGATATATTAGTAAACCGTGTATAAAGACGCATGGATCTCCGTTGCCATAGATGTTTACTTATGTTTTGTTTTTCAATGAAGCGTGTATTCAGCTGGACACGGTTACGATGATGATGGCCTTCGGTTGACGTGATAACCTTATTTATTTATCAGCGAGCAAATGTAGCCTTGTACATACATGTGAAAAAAGTTGTGCATATTTTTAAATAAAATTTATACTGTCAGCGACATGCCTTTATTGCCGTTATTTCGCCATACGTCCTCGTACGTCCTCAGCTGTTCTCTTTCTCCCGTACTATCTCTGTCTCTCTCTCTCTCTCTCTCTCTCTCTCTCTCTCTCTC